ACACACACAGACACACAGACAGACACACATTGTGTTATTTTCCATGACCTGTGCTGCAGCTGTACCTGTGCTATTGCAGGGTTAAATGTCATGTGTTTGTACCTGTGCTGCAGCTGTACCTGTGCTATTGCAGGGTTAAATGTCATGTGTTTGTACCTGTGCTGCAGCTGTACCTGTGCTATTGCAGGGTTAAATGTCATGTGTTTGTACCTGTGCTGCAGCTGTACCTGTGCTATTGCAGGGTTAAATGTCATGTGTTTGTACCTGTGCTGCAGCTGTACCTGTGCTATTGCAGGGTTAAATGTCATGTGTTTGTACCTGTGCTGCAGCTGTACCTGTGCTATTGCAGGGTTAAATGTCATGTGTTTGTACCTGTGCTGCAGCTGTACCTGTGCTATTGCAGGGTTAAATGTCATGTGTTTGTACCTGTGCTGCAGCTGTACCTGTGCTATTGCAGGGTTAAATGTCATGTGTTTGTACCTGTGCTGCAGCTGTACCTGTGCAATTGCAGGGTTAAATGTCATGTGTTTGTACCTGTGCTGCAGCTGTACCTGTGCTATTGCAGGGTTAAATGTCATGTGTTTGTACCTGTGCTGCAGCTGTACCTGTGCAATTGCAGGGTTAAATGTCATGTGTTTGTACCTGTGCTGCTGCTGTACCTGTGCTATTGCAGGGTTAAATGTCATGTGTTTGTACCTGTGCTGCAGCTGTGTTGGAGTCGATGAAGACGATGCTCCAGACATCGACCTGTACCACTGTCCCAACTGTGAGAAGACCCACGGCAAGTCCACCTGTAAGTCACACAGAGCTGCTGCGCTAACCTGATGCTAAGCTAACATGATGCTAAGCTAACCTGGTGCTAAGCTAACCTGATGCTAAGCTTAACCTGGTGCTAAGCTAACATGATGCTAAGCTAACATGATGCTAAGCTAACCTGGTGCTAAGCTAACCTGATGCTAAGCTAACATGATGCTAAGCTAACCTGATGCTAAGCTAACATAATGCTAAGCTAACCTGATGCTAAGCTAACATGATGCTAAGCTAACATGATGCTAAGCTAACATGATGCTAAGCTAACATGATGCTAAGCTAACCTGATGCTAAGCTAACATGATGCTAAGCTAACATGATGCTAAGCTAACCTGATGCTAAGCTTAACCTGGTGCTAAGCTAACATGATGCTAAGCTAACATGATGCTAAGCTAACATGATGCTAAGCTAACCTGATGCTAAGCTAACATGATGCTAAGCTAACATGATGCTAAGCTAACCTGATGCTAAGCCAACATGATGCTAAGCTATGCTAAGCTTGGTTGGAGTCGCTGGCACCGCCCTAAGTTGGTTTAGGTCTTACCTTGAAGACAGGAAGTACTTTGTGGAGATTGGAAACTGTGTCTCAGATCATATGGCCCTGACCTGTGGAGTCCCACAGGGGTCGATCCTGGGACCTCTTCTGTTCAATCTCTACATGCTGCCGTTAGGTCAGTTAATACGCAGAAACAAAGTGTCCTATCATAACTATGCAGACGACACTCAGATCTATGTCTCACTGACTGCAGGAGAACATGGACCAGTGGACTCACTCCTTCACTGTATCCAACAGATCAGTGAGTGGATGCAAAACAACTTCCTTCAGCTAAACGCAGACAAAACTGAAATGATTGTCTTTAGTCCAGAAACAAAGAGAGAGCGTCATCTGTCACCTACAGTCTCTCTCCCTAAAACCTTCAAACAAGGTCAGAAATCTAGGGGTAATACTGGACTCAGACTTAAATTTTAATAGCCACATCAAATCAGTAACATCAGCAGCTTTTTACCATCTAAAAAACATTGCCAGGATCAAAAACATAGTGTCTAAAGCAGACTTGGAGATTCTTATCCATGCATTTGTCTCCAGTAGGTTAGACTACTGCAATGGCCTGCTCACAGGTCTGTCCAAACAGGCTGTAAAACAGCTGCAGTACATTCAAAATGCAGCAGCTCGAGTCCTGACTAGAACCAGGAAGTACGACCATATTAGTCCTGACTAGAACCAGGAAGTACGACCACATTAGTCCTGACTAGAACCAGGAAGTACGACCACATTAGTCCTGACTAGAACCAGGAAGTACGACCACATTAGTCCTGACTAGAACCAGGAAGTACGACCACATTAGTCCTGACTAGAACCAGGAAGTACGACCATATTAGTCCTGACTAGAACTAGGAAGTACGACCACATTAGTCCTGACTAGAACCAGGAAGTACGACCACATTAGTCCTGACTAGAACCAGGAAGTACGACCACATTAGTCCTGACTAGAACCAGGAAGTACGACCATATTAGTCCTGACTAGAACTAGGAAGTACGACCACATTAGTCCTGACTAGAACCAGGAAGTACGACCATATTAGTCCTGACTAGAACCAGGAAGTACGACCATATTAGTCACCTGACCGATAAACCAGGAAGTACGACCACATTAGTCCTGACTAGAACCAGGAAGTACGACCACATTAGTCCTGACTAGAACCAGGAAGTACGACCACATTAGTCCTGACTAGAACCAGGAAGTACGACCACATTAGTCCTGACTAGAACCAGGAAGTACGACCACATTAGTCCTGACTAGAACCAGGAAGTACGACCATATTAGTCCTGACTAGAACCAGGAAGTACGACCATATTAGTCCTGACTAGAACCAGGAAGTACGACCATATTAGTCCTGACTAGAACCAGGAAGTACGACCACATTAGTCCTGACTAGAACCAGGAAGTACGACCATATTAGTCCTGACAAGAACCAGGAAGTACGACCATATTAGTCCTGACAAGAACCAGGAAGTACAACCATATTAGTCCTGACTAGAACCAGGAAGTACGACCACATTAGTCCTGACTAGAACCAGGAAGTACGACCACATTAGTCCTGACTAGAACCAGGAAGTACGACCACATTAGTCCTGACTAGAACCAGGAAGTACGACCACATTAGTCCTGACTAGAACCAGGAAGTACGACCACATTAGTCCTGACTAGAACCAGGAAGTACGACCACATTAGTCCTGACTAGAACCAGGAAGTACGACCACATTAGTCCTGACTAGAACCAGGAAGTACGACCACATTAGTCCTGACTAGAACCAGGAAGTACGACCACATTAGTCCTGACTAGAATCAGGAAGTACGACCACATTAGTCCTGACTAGAACCAGGAAGTACGACCACATTAGTCCTGACTAGAACCAGGAAGTACGACCACATTAGTCCTGACTAGAACCAGGAAGTACGACCACATTAGTCCTGACTAGAACCAGGAAGTACGACCACATTAGTCCTGACTAGAACCAGGAAGTACGACCATATTAGTCCTGACTAGAACCAGGAAGTACGACCACATTAGTCCTGACTAGAACCAGGAAGTACGACCACATTAGTCCTGACTAGAACCAGGAAGTACGACCATATTAGTCCTGACTAGAACCAGGAAGTACGACCATATTAGTCCTGACTAGAACCAGGAAGTACGACCACATTAGTCCTGACTAGAACCAGGAAGTACGACCACATTAGTCCTGACTAGAACCAGGAAGTACGACCACATTAGTCCTGACTAGAACCAGGAAGTACGACCACATTAGTCCTGACTAGAACCAGGTAGTACGACCACATTAGTCCTGACTAGAACCAGGAAGTACGACCACATTAGTCCTGACTAGAACCAGGAAGTACGACCACATTAGTCCTGACTAGAACCAGGAAGTACGACCATATTAGTCCTGACTAGAACCAGGAAGTACGACCATATTAGTCCTGACTAGAACCAGGAAGTACGACCACATTAGTCCTGACTAGAACCAGGAAGTACGACCACATTAGTCCTGACTAGAACCAGGAAGTACGACCACATTAGTCCTGACTAGAACCAGGAAGTACGACCACATTAGTCCTGACTAGAACCAGGAAGTACGACCACATTAGTCCTGACTAGAACCAGGAAGTAAGACCACATTAGTCCTGACTAGAACCAGGAAGTACGACCACATTAGTCCTAACTAGAACCAGGAAGTACGACCACATTAGTCCTGACTAGAACCAGGAAGTACGACCACATTAGTCCTGACTAGAACCAGGAAGTACGACCACATTAGTCCTGACTAGAACCAGGAAGTACGACCACATTAGTCCAGTCCTCAGGTCTCTGCACTGGCTTCCTGTGGCTCAGAGAATAGACTTTAAAACAGCTCTGCTTGTGTACAAGTCTCTCCATGGCCTCGCACCAAAATATATTAGTGACATGTTAGTCCCATATGAACCAGCCCGGACTCTGAGGAGCACAGGGACTGGACTCCTGCTGGGACTCTGAGGAGCACAGGGACTGGACTCCTGCTGGGACTCTAAGGAGCACAGGGACTGGACTCCTGCTGGGACTCTGAGGAGCACAGGGACTGGCCTCCTGCTGGGACTCTGAGGAGCACAGGGACTGGCCTCCTGCTGGGACTCTGAGGAGCACAGGGACTGGCCTCCTGCTGGGACTCTGAGGAGCACAGGGACTGGACTCCTGCTGGGACTCTGAGGAGCACAGGGACTGGACTCCTGCTGGGACTCTGAGGAGCACAGGGACTGGACTCCTGCTGGGACTCTGAGGAGCACAGGGACTGGACTCCTGCTGGGACTCTGAGGAGCACAGGGACTGGACTCCTGCTGGGACTCTGAGGAGCACAGGGACTGGACTCCTGCTGGGACTCTGAGGAGCACAGGGACTGGACTCCTGCTGGGACTCTGAGGAGCACAGGGACTGGACTCCTGCTGGTCCCAGAGTCAGAACTAAACATGGGGAGGCTGCTTTTCAGATTAATGCTGCTAAAATCTGGAACAATCTTCCTGAAGATGTGAGACAGGCCTCCTTCTCTGACAATGTTTAAAACCAGGTTAAAGACAGTTCTGTTTAGCTGTGCTACAACTGAGGGCTGCAGGCGGTCTGTGTGTCTCCTGGTTCTTGGGGCTGAGGGCACTGACTGAGCCTGGTCCGAAGCAGGAGGCGGAGGTTTCGACGGTTTCTGAAAACTGAAACAACACATTGTTTTTACATCATGATGCAGCAGTTAATACAAAAACATGAAAAGTCATAGAATAATACAAAAACACAGTCACTCACTTTAGACGATACTTTCATTTCTCTTTTTGGACAATAAGCTTCTTACACACATATCACAAACAATATATTTATCATAAGTCTGTGTTTCCAAACCAGGGATCAGCGCTCACTGGGGTTTCTCATTCTCCGGTTCTTTAAGATGACGGAGCAACAACATCAACAAAAGGCTTTGAAGGTTCTTTTAATAAGAAAAGAAAGTAAAGAAAGCTGAACTGACATGTTTGGGCGGTTCACTCCCGCCTTCATCAGAGGTGACACTGATGGTGTGATTCTGCTGTTGCCGAATGTGGTCAGTCCGACAGATCCCACAGCTCCCTCAGACTGACCACAGCGCCCCCCTGTGGTCTCTGGAGAAGTGAATCCGGAAGCGGCGCACGGACCATCAACAGAGACGAAGGGCTTTCACCTTGGCTCACACTTGGTTTTCACTTCTCCTGATGAAGGCGGAAGTGCACCGCCCAAACATGTGCTAATGAAGCAGTGCTGCCAGTGCCTTCTGGTCTCATTAAAAGAACCTTCAAAGCCTTCGCCCTCTCAGATGATGAAGTTAGACACCACTGTGCAGCTCTATGGTCACATACTTTAACAAAGTACTTAATAATAATAATAATAATAATAATAATATATAATACACAGTCACACTGTAGGAGACACTGATGTTAAACTGTCTACTTTCAGAGTATGTTATTATTATTTAATAAGTGCATTTATACCTTAGTTATTAAAGAATAATAACATGTGCATTATTGACAGTGTGTTCTATAAAGGAACAGTCACGTGATCTCACCGTTGTCTGGACATTCTGCTGTGTTTCCCCTTCACTGACTCCTGCAAAGACACACAGGTTCAACAACAACAATAACAAAAACAACACCAACACCAACAACAACACCAACAACAACACCAACAGCCCTGACCATAACAGTCTTATCAGCCTTTTCTCACCTGAGTGTTTTCTGAGGGTTTAGTCTTCTGCAGATGGACACAGCTCTGTTCTGTTCTGCACTACAACAAACACAGACACATTAGACCAGAGACCATCAACACACACTCAAAACAAGCACTACCTGTTCTCTCTACGGTCCGCTCTATGGTCCGCTCTCTCCTCCTTTTCCCTCTGCTCCTCTCTCTCCTCCTCTCTCTCCTCCTTTTCCCTCTGCTCCTCTCTCTCCTCCTCTCTCTCCTCCTTCTCCCTCTGCTCCTCTCTCTCCTCCTCTCTCTCCTCCTCTCTCTCCTCCTCTCTCTCCTCTCTCTCCTCCTCTCTCTGCTCCTCTCTCTCCTCCTCTCTCTCCTCCTCTCTCTCCTCCTCTCTCTCCTCCTCTCTCTGCTCCTCTCTCTCCTCCTCTCTCTCTCCTCCTCTCTCTCCTCCTCTCTCTGCTCCTCTCTCTGCTCCCCCTCTCCTCCTCTCTCTGCTCCTCCTCTCCTCCTCTCTCTGCTCCTCCCTCTCCTCCTCTCTCTGCTCCTCTCTCTGCTCCTCCCTCTCCTCCTCTCTCGGCTTGAGCTCGCTCCAGGCGGCCTCCTTCCACCCTGCCTCGGTGAACAGCCTCCGGGGGAAGTTTGCTGGTCCTCTCCGCTCTTTCTGCTGGAGGATGCTGCCCATCCTCACATCTCCCTCACGTCTCTCTCACGTCCCCCTCACGTCCTCCTCACGTCCCCCTCACGTCCCTCTCACGTCTCCCTCACGACCCCCTGACGTCTCGCTCACTCCCCCCTCACATCAGGCGGATAAACGCGAACCCAAAGTCTCCGATGACACCACAGCCGTAGACTGTAGAGATCCAGCGAAACAGACGGATTTTCTGCGGTGTCGTAAACAGCCTGCAGGGTGTGTGGGTGTCCAGCAGAGGGCGCTGTGTGGGTGTCCAGCAGAGGGCGCTGTGTGGGTGTCCAGCAGAGGGCGCTGTGTGGCTCCTGTTTTGACTCAGATGCAGTCTCCTGTTATTATTTCCTTGTGTGACTGTTTCTGTCATGTTTTGTTCAGCACTATGACTTGTCTTGTGTATGAATTGTGCAAAACAAATAAACTTGTCTTACTCGTGAGCGCTTCACATTCTGTCATGTGCCATATGTGCCGTAAATTTCTCCTGTGTGAGATTAATAAAGTCTTATCTTATCTTAAATCCATGTTCACAGAGAACATGAACAAACTAGTAAATAGTGTGTGTGTGTATGAGCTCAGCTGTGTGTGTGTGTGTGTTTCTATTGTACAAATACATGTGAGTGATGTCACTACTGAGAAAGACCTTTTAGTTCCATCATTCTAAATAAGGACAAAGTCAATTACAATAAACAACTTATTATATTTGAATGAAGGAAACAGTCTTCAACACGTTACAGGAAACAGGAAACCCCAAACACACACAACACACAACACACGCACACACACACGCACACAACACACACATACACACACACACACACATACACACACACGCACACACATACACACAAATAAATACACACACACACAAATACAGTACAGAGCAAAAGTACTAATTTAAAGAGTTTTTTATTTTCATGATTATAAAACTGTAGATTGACACTGAGGGCATCAAACCTATGATGAACTCATGTGAATTATGTTCGTAGTAAAAAAGTATGAACCAAATGAAAATATGTGTTTTATTCTGGTTCTTCAAAGTAATAATAATAATAATAATAATGCATCGGTTTTATATAGCGCTTTTTAGACACTCAAAGTCTCTTCACATGTGTCATTATCCTCTCTCTCCAAACACAGCAGTGATAAACTACTGTAGCCACAGCTGCCCTGGGGCACACTGACAGAAGTGAGGCAACCAGTCTGTGCCATCGGCCCAGGCAATGGGGGTGAAGTGTCTTGCCTAAGGACACAACGGCAGTTTGGCACTTTACAGCCGCAGCCGCCCCACTGTGGCTGGTGTTCCCAGAGGCTAAGTGTCTTGCCAAGGACACAACAACAGCAGACAGTGGGAGTCGATGGTGAAAGTCTTGAGCGGGGCTCGAATCCACAACCTTCTGGCTCAAAGGCCAACGCGCAACTGAGCTACTGCCTCCCCAAAGTAGCTCCTTTTGCTCTGATACTGCTTCACTAAGTAATCAGAGCCTCTGACACTGGGGGATACCTAGAGATAGTCGGCCTCACCTCCACACACAGCTTGGGCTCTGAACCCAACTCCTTAAGAGGGGTTGGACGCTCCACTTTTCTGGTGTTTCTCGCGGGGAGAGGCGGCGAGCGGGGGTGGCCATACTCATTGCCCCCCATCTCAGCTCCACGTGTTGGAGTTCTCCCCGGTGAATGAGAGGGTCGCGTCCCTCCGCCTCCGGGTGGGGGACAAGTCTCTCATTGTTGTTACGGCCTACGGGCCTAACAGCAGTGCAGAGTACCCGGCCTTCTTGGAGTCCTTGGGAGGGGTACTGGACAGTGCACTCCGTTATTCTCCTGGGGGACTTCAACGCCCATGTGGGGGACGCCAGTGACACTTGGAGAGGGGTGAAGGGGAAGAACGGCCCTGATCTGAACCCGAGCGGTGTTCAGTTGTTGGACTTCTGTGCCAGTCACAGTTTGTCCATCACCAACACCATGTTCCACCAGGGGGCGCCAGGACCTAAGGCCAGAGGTCGATGATCGACTTTGATGTCGTATCATCTGACCTTTGACCGCGTGTCTCGGACACTCGGGTGAAGAGAGGGGAGGAGCTAAAGAGAGGGGTGGAGCTAAAGAGAGGGGCGGAGCTGTCAACCGATCATCACCTGGTCGTGAGTTGGATCCGCTGGCAGAGGAGGAAGCCGGTCAGACCTGGCAGGCCCAAGCGTATAGTGAGGGTCTGCTGGGAACGTCTCGCTGAGCCCCCTGTCAGACGGACTTTCTGCTCACACCTCCGGGAGAGCTTCTCCCAGGTCCCGGCGGAGGAGGGGGACATGGAGTCCGAGTGGACCATGTTCTCTTCCTCTATCGCCAATGCGGCGCCTCGTATCTGTGGTTGCAAGGTCTCTGGTGCTGGTCCCGGCGGCAACCCCCGAACCCGGTGGTGGACACCGGCAGTAAGGGATGCCGTCAGGCTGAAGAAGGAGTCCTGCCGCGGCCCGGGCTGTTGCAGAGGCAAAAACCCGGGACTGGGAGGAGTTCGGAGAGTCCATGGAGCATGACTATCGGTCGGCCTCAAAGAGGTTCTGGCAAACCGTCCGGCGCCTCAGGAGGGGGAAGCAGTTCTTTGCCAACACCATGTATGGTGCGGGTGGAGAGCTGCTGACCTCGACTGGGGATATTGTCGGGCGGTGGAAGGAATACTTTGAGGTTCTCCTCAATCCGGCACGGTGGCTGAGTGGATAGCACTCTCGCCTCTCAGCAAGAAGGTCCTGGGTTCGAATCCCGGTCGGACCAGGGCCTTTCTGAGTGGAGTTTGCATGTTCTCCCCGTGTCTGCGTAGGTTTCCTCCGGGTACTCCGGTTTCCCCTACCACTAAAAATATGTACAATAGGTCTGGCATGTGCCTCCTGTACTGGCGACCCCGTTCCCATCTCTGTGTGGAGTGAGAGACAAGTGCCCATAATTAACAATTGTAAAACCGCTTTGAGACTCAGATCTGCAGTGAAAAGGCGGTATATAAATAAAAACTTACTTACTATTACTTACTAATCCCCCCGTCACGTCCTCCGTTACAGAGGCAGAGGCTGAGGATGTTGGGGCGGATACATCCATCTCCCTGAGGTCACCAAGGTGGTTGACAGCCTCCATGGTGGCAAGGCGCCGGGAGTGGATGAGATCCGTCCTGATTATCTAAAGTCTCTGGATGTTGTAGGACTGTCTTGGCTGACACGTCTCTGCAACATCGCGTGGCGATCGGGGGCAGTGCCAATGGAGTGGCAGACCGGGGTGGTGGTCCCTCTCTACAAGAAGGGGGACCGGAGGGTGTGTTCCAATTATCGTGGGATCACACTCCTCAGCCTCCCTGGTAAGGTCTACTCCAAGGTACTGGAGAGGAGGCTACGGTCGATGGTCGAATCTCGGATCCAGGAGGAGCAGTGTGGTTTTCGTCCCGGTCGCGGAACACTGGACCAGCTCTATACTCTCCATCGGATACTCGAGGGTTCATGGGAGTTCGCCCAACCTGTCCACATGTGCTTTGTGGATTTGGAGAAGGTGTTCGACCGTGTTCCCCGGGGTGTCCTTTGGGGGGTTCTCCGGGAGTACGGGGTCCTCTGCTGAGGGCCGTCCGATCCCTGTATGACCGGAGCCAGAGCTGTGTTCGCATTGCCGGCAGTAAGTCAGACCTGTTCCCGGTGAGTGTTGGCCTCCGACAGGGCTGCCCTTTGTCACCGGTTCTGTTCACTGTATTTATGGACAGAATATCTAGGCGCAGCCAGGGGTCGGAGGGGGTCCGGTTCAGGGACCACAGGATTTCATCTCTGCTGTTTGCAGACGATGTTGTCCTGTTGGCTCCAACGAACCAGGACCTGCAACATGCACTGGGACGGTTTGCAGCCGAGTGTGAAGCGGCTGGGATGAGAATCAGCACCTCCAAATCTGAGGCCATGGTGCTCGACCGGAAAAAGGTGCCTTGCCCTCTGCAGGTGGGTGGAGAGGTCCTTCCTCAAGTGGAGGAGTTCAAGTATCTCGGGGTCTTGTTCACGAGTGAGGGAAGAATGGAGCGTGAGATTGACAGGCGGATCGGTGCAGCGTGCGCAGTGATGCGGTCGCTGTATCGGACCGTTGTGGTAAAGAGGGAGCAGCGTCTGCAGTCAGAGCTGTATCGGACCGTTGTGGTAAAGAGGGAGCAGCGTCTGCAGTCAGAGTTGTATCGGACCGTTGTGGTAAAGAGGGAGCAGCGTCTGCAGTCAGAGCTGTATCGGACCGTTGTGGTAAAGAGGGAGCTGAGCCGAAAGGCAAAGCTCTCGATTTACCGGTCAATCTTCGTCCCCTCCCTCACCTATGGTCATGAGCTTTGGGTAATGACCGAAAGAACGAGATCGCGGATACAAGCGGTCGAAATGAGCTTCCTCCGCAGAGTGGCTGCTCCCTTAGAGATAGGGTGAGGAGCTCAGTCACACGGGAGGAGCACGGAGTAGAGCCGCTGCTCCCTTAGAGATAGGGTGAGGAGCTCGGTCACACGGGAGGAGCACGGAGTAGAGCCGCTGCTCCCTTAGAGATAGGGTGAGGAGCTCGGTCACACGGGAGGAGCTCAGAGTAGAGCCGCTGCTCCCTTAGAGATAGGGTGAGGAGCTCAGTCACACGGGAGGAGCACGGAGTAGAGCCGCTGCTCCCTTAGAGATAGGGTGAGGAGCTCGGTCACACGGGAGGAGCACGGAGTAGAGCCGCTGCTCCCTTAGAGATAGGGTGAGGAGCTCGGTCACACGGGAGGAGCTCAGAGTAGAGCCGCTGCTCCCTTAGAGATAGGGTGAGGAGCTCAGTCACACGGGAGGAGCTCGGAGTAGAGCCGCTGCTTCTCCACGTCGAGAGGAACCAGTTGAGGTGGCTCGGGCATCTGTTCCGGATGCCTCCTGGACGCCTCCCTGGGGAGGTGTTCCGGGCAGGAACCAAAACCATCTGGACTGGGTTCAGGTCCAAAACCATCTGGACTGGGTTCAGGTCCAAAACCATCTGGACTGGGTTCAGGTCCAAAACCATCTAGACTGGGTTCAGGTCCAAAACCATCTGGACTGGGTTCAGGTCCAAAACCATCTAGACTGGGTTCAGGTCCAAAACCATCTGGACTTGGTTCAGGTCCAAAACCATCTGGACTGGGTTCAGGTCTAGCCCTTACACAGCCTGGTGCGGGTCTACAGCAATAGTCATGAAAAGAACTCAGTGAAGGAGAGAGGGTGTCCAGACTTTTGCTCTGTACTGTACACACACACACACACACACACACACACACACACACACACACACACACACACACACACTCTCATAGTTCTGTGAAGTTCCTAAACGGCGCCTGGTGAGACGTCTCCTCGATCTTTGCACAGATTTGTTCAAATGAAATCTTCACCAAAACTTTAGCCTCTGCTTCATCACAGACTGTTACTGCTGTGGCCACGCCCTGCTCTTTGTCCATGAGCACCTCTCCCACTGTCTCCCCCACAGTCTCCCCCACAGTCTCCACAGTCTCCCCCACTGTCTCCCACCCACTCTCCACAGTCTCCCCCACAGTCTCCACAGTCTCCCCCACAGTCTCCCCTACCGTCTCCCCCACAGTCTCCACAGTCTCCCCCACAGTCTCCACAGTCTCCCCCACAGTCTCCACAGTCTCCCCCACAGTCTCCACAGTCTCCCCCACTGTCTCCCCCACAGTCTCCCCCACAGTCTCCACAGTCTCCCCCACAGTCTCCACAGTCAACCCCACTGTCTCCCCCACAGTCTCCCCCACTGTCTCCACTGTCTCCCCCACAGTCTCCCCCACAGTCTCCCCTACCGTCTCCCCCACAGTCTCCCCCACAGTCTCCCACCCACTCTCCACAGTCTCCCCCACAGTCTCCACAGTCTCCCCCACAGTCTCCCCTACCGTCTCCCCCACAGTCTCCCCCACAGTCTCCCCCACTGTCTCCCCCACTGTCTCCCCCACAGTCTCCCACACAGTCTCCCCCATTGTCTCCCCCACAGTCTCCACAGTCAACCCCACTGTCTCCCCCACAGTCTCCCACACAGTCTCCCCCACTGTCTCCCCCACAGTCTCCACAGTCAACCCCACTGTCTCCCCTACCGTCTCCCCCACAGTCTCCCCCACTGTCTCCACTGTCTCCCCCACAGTCTCCACAGTCTCCCCCACTGTCTCCCCTACCGTCTCCCCCACAGTCTCCCCCACAGTCTCCCCCACAGTCTCCCCCACAGTCTCCCACACAGTCTCCCCCACTGTCTCCCCCACAGTCTCCCCCACTGTCTCCCCCACAGTCTCCCCCACTGTCTCCCCCACAGTCTCCCCCACTGTCTCCACTGTCTCCCCCACAGTTTCCACAGTCTCCCCCACAGTCTCCCCTACCGTCTCCCCCACAGTCTCCCCTACCGTCTCCCCCACAGTCTCCCCCACTGTCTCCCCCACAGTCTCCCACACAGTCTCCCCCACTGTCTCCCCCACAGTCTCCCCCACAGTCTCCCCCACTGTCTCCCCCACAGTCTCCCCCACTGTCTCCCCCACAGTCTCCCACACAGTCTCCCCCACTGTCTCCCCCACAGTTTCCCCCACTGTCTCGCAGGGTGAGGGCAGTGGAGAGTCTCGGTCTGACCCAGAGTAAAGACACATCTTGGAGACCGTCTCTTTGAGTTTGTCGACGGGGGACCGTGGGTCGCTGCGGCTGTTGCGGCTACTGCGGCTTCGACTGCTGCTGTGGAAACGCTCCAGTCGCTCGAGGGCAGAGGGAAAGTGGAACTGTGGAGTGGGCAGTTTGAGGACGGGGGTCCGGGACACGTGAGAATACAGAGAGTAGAAGACGTTGGCCATCGTCGTCAGGACTTGGACTTGTCTGAAGCGACCTGCGGAAAACAAGACACAAGACGCGACAGACTGTGAATATTAAAAACATACTCTATCTCTTCTATCTCCGCCGTTTGAACTAATGTGACATCACTTTCACCGTCTATGGCAGTTTCAAAATGGTCGCAAGAAAATATGAAAAAACACTTTTGTGCTTTAGCTGCACGAGCCCAATTCATTTAGTGCATTCTGAAGTCCACAGCGGCTAAACTAGACTGGTCCAAAAACATATACTCCCCTCAGACAGCATCTGGAACCAAGAGGACCAAGAACCACCAGAGGAAAGAAGATGCTATACACTAGCATTGTCTAGTTCTTATTCTGGGTTCACCCCCACAGGCCCGGGTGGTACTGCAGCACGTCAGCGCACACATTTTCCCTCAGCTCAAAGCCTCAAACGGGGACAAACTGTGTGTACATGTTGGTATCACACTTCCTGTTGTTCCTGTTGTGTTTGAAGCATGTGTTGTGTTGTATTTATGTTGAATGTTTGAATCTGTGTCAAACTGTGGTCAGGTTTATGCACAGAGCGACTTCTTGTTGAATCCAAATCTATTATTTATGGTAAAAAGTAATAAGAGTCATACTAGCAAGTGAGAGGTGGGGGTCCTCTTCCCGAATCCTCTGCAGCTGAGCGTCCAGAAACAGCCGGAAGTTGATGCCCTTGGCCTGCGACGGGAACGTGAAGAACCGCGCAGGTATTCGAACCGAGTCCTGAGCCTCCTCTGCACCGAAGCCTAGTTCATACAGAGTCTCCTCCGCCTTCTCCGAGAAAACCTGCAAGACCTCAGCCACACTGGAGAGGACAGAGGACAGAGGAGAGAGGAGAGAGGAGAGAGGACAGAGGAGAGAGGAGAGAGGAGAGAGGACAGAGGACAGAGGAGAAAGGAGAGAGGAGAGAGGACAGGGGAGAGAGGACAGAGGAGAGAGGAGAGAGGAGAGAGGAGAGAGGAGAGAGGACAGAGGAGAGAGGACAGAGGACAGAGGAGAGAGGAGAGAGGACAGAGGACAGAGGAGAGAGGAGAGAGGACAGGGGACAGAGGACAGAGGAGAGAGGACAGAGGAGAGAGGACAGAGGAGAGAGGAGAGAGGAGAGAGGACAGAGGAGAGAGGAGAGAGGACAGAGGAGAGAGGACAGAGGACAGAGGACAGAGGAGAGAGGACAGAGGAGAGAGGAGAGAGGACAGGGGAGAGAGGAGAGAGGAGAGAGGAGAGAGGACAGAGGAGAGAGGACAGAGGACAGAGGAGAGAGGAGAGAGGACAGAGGACAGAGGAGAGAGGACAGAGGAGAGAGGAGAGAGGAGAGAGGACAGAGGAGAGAGGACAGAGGACAGAGGAGAGAGGAGAGAGGAGAGAGGACAGAGGACAAAGGAGAGAGGACAGAGGAGAGAGGACAGGAGGACAGAGGACAGAGGAGAGAGGAGAGAGGACAGAGGACAGAGAGTAATAAACTACTACTGTAGCCACAGCTGCCCTGGGGCACACTGACAGCAGTGAGGCAACCAGTCTGTGCCATCGGCCCCTCCCACCACCACCAACCATTCACACACACACCAGACTCATTCTAATGTGGGGGAAGTGTCTTGCCTAAGGACACAACCACAGTTTGGCACTTTACAGCCGCAGCCGCCCCACTGTGGCACCTGCTGTTCCCAGAGGTCTCCCATCACAGCACTAACCAGGCCCTGCCCTGCATAGCTTCAGAGGTCTGGCTTTCACTTGCTGGTATGGCCACATGATGAATTAATGGTCATAATCTATACATTCTCTTCAGCATATGTTTGTTTAGGACTAATTAGTCTCTTCACGTAATTGCAAAGTTAAGTGAAAGAATGTGACCTGGCTTCATCTCAGTCCAACACTTTATGACGTAGAGTTCAACATTGTCGATTCTGCAGCAGCAGATTAGAGAATCAGATCATGAGGAACAGACCTGGTGGAAGAGTCCAACGTTGATGAAGAATGAAAACTGAAAGCAAAGCTGTGGTTGTTCTGAGTGAGACCGAGGTCGTCCAAACTGTTCAAACAGAAGATCAAAGTCACAAAAGTCACAGCAGCAGCCACAGAGTCATCCAGCCAACTCTAGCTCCACCACTATAGTTCTGTATGTGTTCATACATCTACAGATACTGACATCTGATGGTGTCACCAAACCATGGTTCAGAAGGATTTCTGTCTTCAGTTGTTTTTAGAGCTTTAAAATGATGAATAACAGGCCACAGTTTCCCAGATCAACCTCTGACGGTCCATGTGTGTAATAACATGTGTAATAACATGTGTAATAACATGTGTGATAACATGTGCAATAACATGTGTATTAACATGTGTATTAACATGTGTAATAACATGTGTAATAACACGTGTAATAACATGTGTGATAGCATGTGTGATAACATGTGCAATAACATGTGTATTAACATGTGTAATAACATGTGTATTAACATGTGTAATGACATTTGTGATAACATGTGTGTAACATGTGTAATAACATATGTAACTACATGTGTATTAACATGTGTAATAACATGTGTAATATGTGTAATAACATGTGTAATAACATATGTGATAACATGTGTAATAACATGTGTGATATGTGTAATAACATGTGTAATAACATGTGTAATAACATGTGTATTAACATGTGTAATAACATTTGTAATAACATGTGTGTAACATGCGCAATAACATATGTAACAACATGTGTATTAACATGTGTAATAACATTTGTAATAACATGTGTGATAACGTGTGTAACATGTGCAATAACATATGTAACAACATGTGTATTAACATGTGTAATAACATGTGTAATATGTGTAATAACATGTGTAATAACATGTGTAATAACATGTGTGATAACATGTGTAATAACATGTGTGATGTGTGTAATAACATGTGTAATAACATGTGTAATATGTGTGATAACATGTGTAATAACATGTGTAATAACATGTGTAATATGTGTGATAACATGTGTAATAACATGTGTAATAACATGTGTAATAACATGTGTGATACATGTGTGATAACATGTGTAATAACATGTGTAATAACCTGTATACTGTGTGTTATTTGTTTATGTCACATATGAATAACTTCATGTTAGTATGTTGTACTGACCCAGGATCATGCGTGTTCACTGCATCTGTAGAAAAAGAACACACATGTTTTTTACCGGTGTCAATACCGTGAGGCTTTCTTCTTTTTCTCAAACTTTACAAATGAGAATAATGGACCTCAGGGGCCTCATGAACAGATCAGAACCTCTGGGACCTCACTTACAGAACAGAACATCTGGGACCTCACGTACAGAACAGAACCTCAGGGGCCTCATGTACAGAACAGAACCTCAGGGGCCTCATGTACAGAACAGAACCACTGGGGCCTCATGTACAGAACAGAACCTCTGGGGCCTCATGTACAGAACAGAACCTCTGGGACCTCACGTACAGAACAGAACCTCAGGGGCCTCATGTACAGAACAGAACCTCCGGGACCTCACGTACAGAACAGAACCTCAGGGGCCTCATGTACAGAACAGAACCTCTGGGACCTCACGTACAGAACCTCTGGGACCTCACTTACAGAACAGAACATCTGGGACCTCACGTACAGAACAGAACCTCAGGGGCCTCATGTACAGAACAGAACCTCAGGGGCCTCATGTACAGAACAGAACCACTGGGGCCTCATGTACAGAACAGAACCTCTGGGGCCTCATGTACAGAACAGAACCTCTGGGACCTCACGTACAGAACAGAACCTCAGGGGCCTCATGTACAGAACAGAACCTCCGGGACCTCACGTACAGAACAGAACCTCAGGGGCCTCATGTACAGAACAGAACCTCTGGGACCTCACGTACAGAACAGAACCTCAGGGGCCCCATGTACAGAACAGAACCTCTGGGACCTCACGTACAGAACAGAACCTCTGGGGCCACAGAACCGAACAGAACCTCTGGAGCCAGACCAGATAAAACAGATCAATGCAGTATTAAGCGTCTGTCGTAGTTTCTCCTCAGACTCACTTTGTGAATGAAGCTCCGAGAAGACGTCGTCCTCCCCTACAGCAGGAGGCTCCCCCGCAGCAGGAGGTGCAGGGCAGAGAGCAGGAGGTGCTGTGTCTGAGTGGAGCTGGCGGCAGCTGTGGATCCAGGCGCGGCGCCTCACGGTGGACACTGGACTCTCCTGCATGTCCCAGTCTCTATGATGATGAAACATGGAGGAAACTATTCTGTAACAACATTATTAATCTGCACCTCTCGACAGGTGTCTGTGCTCTACGGGTTCTTTTGAAGCTGACGTCAACTCTTGAGTCTTTGACTGACATCTTGTTACATTGTTACTCTAACAATTTCACAATCAAACTTATTTGTTTCATTTCAACAACATTATAATATATCCCTGTGTTTTAGAAAAAGTAGTGATCAGCATTTTTAGAATAATCAGTACTTTTAGAATAATCAGTACTTTCTTGATAAATATAAAAAGATAAATAAACGGTACCTTTGCTGAGCTGCAGTCTGGTACCTTTGCTGAGCTGCAGTCTGGTACCTTTGCTGAGCTGCAGTCTGGTTGCACAGTGAGCCTCAGAGGAAGCGTCACATCCTGCGGAAAACACAAAAAACAAACAAAGCGTCACTTAAAGAAAGTGTGAAAAAGGAACGAAAGAAACAGAAAATAATCATTAAAATACATCGATATACATCATTACGTAACCAGAGAGAGACGATAAAGTTAAAGCTCATGTTTACAGCTGTGTTTAAAGCTCATGTTTAAAGCTCATGTTTAAAGCTGTGTTTAAAGCTCATGTTTAAAGCTGTGTTTAAAGCTAATGGTTAAAGCTCATGTTTAAAGCTGTGTTTAAAGCTCATGTTTAAATCTCATGTTTAAAGCTCATGTTTAAAGCTGTGTTTAAAGCTCATGTTTAAAGCTCATGTTTAAAGCTAATGTTTATAGCTCATGTTTAAAGCTCATGTTTAAAGCTCATGTTTAAAGCTGTGTTTAAAGCTCATGTTTAAAGCTGTGTTTAAAGCTCATGTTTAAAGCTGTGTTTACAGCTAATGTTTAAAGCTCATGTTTAAAGCTGTGTTTAAAGCTCATGTTTACAGCTGTGTTTACAGCTAATGTTTAAAGCTGTGTTTAAAGCTCATGTTTAAAGCTGTGTTTAAAGCTCATGTTTAAAGCTGTGTTTAAAGCTCATTTTTAAAGCTCATGTTTAAAGCTCATGTTTAAAGCTGTGTTTAATGTTCATGTTTAAAGCTGTGTTTAAAGCTCATGTTTAAAGCTCATGTTGAAAGCTCATGTTTAAAGCTGTGTTTAAAGCTCATGTTTAAAGCTGTGTTTAAAGCTCATGTTTAAAGCTCATGTTGAAATCTGTGTTTAAAGCTCATGTTTAAAGCTGTGTTTAAAGCTCATGTTTAAAGCTCATTTTTAAAGCTCATGTTTATAGCTCATGTTGAAAGCTCATGTTTAAAGCTAATGTTTATAGCTCATGTTTAAAGCTCATGTTTAAAGCTGTGTTTAAAGCTCATGTTTAAGCTGTGTTTAAAGCTCATGTTTAAAGCTGTGTTTAAAGCTCATGTTTAAATCTCATGTTTAAATCTCATGTTTAAAGCTCATGTTTAAAGCTGTGTTTAAAGCTCATGTTTAAAGCTGTGTTTAAAGCTGTGTTTAAAGCTCATGTTTAAAGCTGTGTATAAAGCTCATGTTTAAAGCTGTGTTTAAAGCTCATGTTTAAAACTGTGTTTAAAGCTCATGTTTAAAGCTGTGTTTAAAGCTCATGTTGAAAGCTCATGCTTAAAGCTCATGTTTAAAGCTAATGTTTATAGCTCATGTTTAAAGCTCATGTTTAAAGCTGTGTTTAAAGCTCATGTTTAAAGCTGTGTTTAAAGCTCATGTTTAAAGCTGTGTTTAAAGCTAATGTTTAAAGCTCATGCTTAAAGCTGTGTTTAAAGCTCATGTTTAAAGCTGTGTTTAAAGCTCATGTTTAAAGCTGTGCTTAAAGCTCATGTTTAAAGCTGTGTTTAAAGCTCATGTTTAAAGCTCATGTTTAAAGCTGTGTTTAAAGCTCATGTTTAAAGCTGTGTTTAAAGCTCATGTTTAAAGCTCATGTTTAAAGCTCATGTTTAAAGCTGTGTTTAAAGCTCATGTTTAAAGCTCATGTTTAAAGCTTATGTTTAAAGCTCATGTTTAAAGCTCATGTTTAACGCTTATGTTTAAAGCTGTGTTTAAAGCAAATGTTTAAAGTTCATGTTTAAAGCTCATGTTTAAAGCTCATGTTTAAAGCTTATGTTTAAAGCTGTGTTTAAAGCTCATGTTTAACGCTTATGTTTAAAGTTGTGTTTAAAGCAAATGTTTAAAGTTCATGTTTAAAGCTCATGTTTAAAGCTCATGTTTAAAGCTTATGTTTAAAGCTGTGTTTAATACTCATGTTTAAAGCTGTGTTTAAAGCTCACGTTTAAAGCTCATGTTTAAAACTATGTTTAAAGCTCATGTTTAAAGCTCATGTTTAAAGCTGTGTTTAAAGCTCATGTTTAAAGCTTATGTTTAAAGCTGTGTTTAAAGCTCATGTTTAACGCTAATTTTTAAAGCTCATGTTTAAAGCTGTGTTTAAAGCTCATGTTAGAACTATGTTGAAAGCTAATGTTTAAAGCTAATGTTTAAAGCTCATTTTTAAAGCTGTGTATAAAGCTCATGTTTAAAGCTGTGTTTAAAGCTCATGTTTAAAACTGTGTTTAAAGCTCATGTTTAAAGCTGTGTTTAAAGCTCATGTTGAAAGCTCATGCTTAAAGCTCATGTTTAAAGCTAATGTTTATAGCTCATGTTTAAAGCTCATGTTAAAAGCTCATGTTTAAAGCTGTGTTTAAAGCTCATGTTTAAAGCTCATGTTTAAAGCTCATGTTTAAAGCTGTGTTTAAAGCTAACGTTTAAAGCTCATGTTTAAAGCTCATGTTTAGGGCTGTGTTTAAAGCTCATGTTTAAAGCTGTGTTTAAAGCTCATGTTTAAAACTGTGTTTAAAGCTCATGTTTAAAGCTCATATTTAAATCTCATGTTTAAAGCTGTGTTTAAAGCTCATGTTTAAAGCTGTGTTTAAAGCTCATGTTTAAAGCTCATGTTTACAGCTGTGTTTAAAGCTCATGTTTAAAGCTCATGTTTAAAGCTGTGTTTAAAGCTCATGTTTAAAGCTGTGTTTAAAGCTGTGTTTAAAGCTCATGTTTAAAGCTGTGTATAAAGCTCATGTTTAAAGCTGTGTTTAAAGCTCATGTTTAAAGCTCATGTTTAAAACTGTGTTTAAAGCTCATGTTTAAAGCTGTGTTTAAAGCTCATGTTGAAAGCTCATGCTTAAAGCTCATGTTTAAAGCTAATGTTTATAGCTCATGTTTAAAGCTCATGTTAAAAGCTCATGTTTAAAGCTCATGTTTAAAGCTGTGTTTAAAGCTCATGTTTAAAGCTCATGTTTAAAGCTGTGTTTAAAGCTAACGTTTAAAGCTCATGTTTAGGGCTGTGTTTAAAGCTCATGTTTAAAGCTCATGTTTAAAGCTGTGTTTAAAGCTGTGTTTAAAGCTCATGTTTAAAGCTGTGTTTAAAGCTGTGTTTAAAGCTCATGTTTAAAGCTGTGTATAAAGCTCATGTTTAAAGCTGTGTTTAAAGCTCATGTTTAAAGCTCATGTTTAAAACTGTGTTTAAAGCTCATGTTTAAAGCTGTGTTTAAAGCTCATGTTGAAAGCTCATGCTTAAAGCTCATGTTTAAAGCTAATGTTTATAGCTCATGTTTAAAGCTCATGTTAAAAGCTCATGTTTAAAGCTCATGTTTAAAGCTGTGTTTAAAGCTCATGTTTAAAGCTCATGTTTAAAGCTGTGTTTAAAGCTAACGTTTAAAGCTCATGTTTAGGGCTGTGTTTAAAGCTCATGTTTAAAGCTGTGTTTAAAGCTCATGTTTAAAACTGTGTTTAAAGCTCATGTTTAAAGCTCATATTTAAATCTCATGTTTAAAGCTGTGTTTAAAGCTTATGTTTAAAGCTGTGTTTAAAGCTCATGTTTAAAGCTCATGTTTACAGCTGTGTTTAAAGCTCATGTTTAAAGCTGTGTTTAAAGCTCATGTTTAAAGCTCATGTTTAAAGCTGTGTTTAAAGCTGTGTTTAAAGCTCATGTTTAAAGCTGTGTTTAAAGCTGTGTTTAAAGCTCATGTTTAAAGCTGTGTTTAAAGCTCATGTTTAAAGCTGTGTTTAAAGCTGTGTTTAAAGCTCACGTTTAAAACTCATGTTTAAAGCTCATTTACAGTGTTTTTCTGTTAAAGTTTGCACCAAAATAAAACAACACAAATGTTCCTCTCCAGAGTCTGTAATAAAACTAATTATAATGTGACTTGGACCGTATGCGCGCTCTGATTGGCTGATTACCGGTCTGATATTTTCCCATCTCGGACTGTTACCATGGCAATCTATCCACAGCCCGTATCACACAAAATCACGTTGGACATGAACATACTTCACAAATATCTCCAAGGCATTGGTAAAGACACAGACGAGAGTCATATAATAAAACATTTATTAACCTCGCTCGGTCTGTGCATTAAGGCCAAGGTTTATAAGCCGTTAATATTATATGACTTGGATCGTGCGCTCTGTTTGGCTGATATGCGGTCTGATATTTTCCCATCTCGTACCGTTACCATGACAATTGGTCCGCATGTATCAGATTTGATACAGGCGAAAGTATTCGGCCCCCTTGAACCTTTCAACATTTCGCCACATTTCAGGCTTCAAACATAAAGATGTAACATTTTAATTTTTTGTCATGAATCAACAACAAGTGGGACACAATCGTGAAGTGGAATGAAATTTGTTGGATAATTTAAACTTTTTTAACAAATAAAAAACTGAAAAGTGGGGCGTGCAATATTATTGGGCCCCTTTACTTTCAGTGCAGCAAACTCAGTCCAGAAGTTCAGTGAGGATCTTTGAATGATCCAATGTTGTCCTAAATGACTGATGATGATAAAATAGAATGCTCCTGTGTGTAATCAAGTCTCCGTATAAATGCACCTGCTCTTTGATAGTCTCAGGGTTCTGTTTAAAGCACAGAGAGAACCATGAAGACAAAGGAACACACCAGGCAGGTCCGAGATACTGTTGTGGAGAAGTTTAAAGCCGGATTTGGATACAAAAAGATTTCCCAAGCTTTAAACATCTCAAGGAGCACTGTGCAAGCAATTATATTGAAATGGAAGGAGTATCAGACCACTGCAAATCTACCAAGACCCGGCCGTCCCTCCAAACTTTCATCTCAAACAAGGAGAAGCCTGATCAGAGATGCAGTCAAGAGGCCCATGATCACTCTGGATGAACTGCAGATAACTACAGCTGAGGTGGGAGAGTCTGTCCATAGGACAACAATCAGTCGTGCACTGCACAAATCTGGCCTTTATGGAAGAGTGGCAAGAAGAAAGCCATTTCTCAAAGATATCCATAAAAAGTCTGGTTTAAAGTTTGCCACAAGCCACCTGGGAGACACACCAAACATGTGGAAGAAGGTGCTCTGGTCAGATGAAACCAAAATCAAACTTTTTGGCCACAATGCAAAACGATATGTTTGGCGTAAAAGCAACACAGCTCATCACCCTGAACACACCATCCCCACTGTCAAACATGGGGGTGGCAGCATCATGCTTTGGGCCTGCTTTTCTTCAGCAGGGACAGGGAAGATGGCTAAAATTGATGGGAAGATGGATGGAGCCAAATACAGGACCATTCTGGAAGAAAACCTGTTGGAGTCTGCAAAAGACCTGAGACTGGGACGGAGATTTATCTTCCAACAGGACAATGATCCAAAACATAAAGCCAAATCTACAATGGAATGGTTCACAAATAGACGTATCCAGGTGTTAGAATGGCCAAGTCAAAGTCCAGACCTGAATCCAATCCAGAATCTGTGGAAAGAGCTGAAGACTGCTGTTCACAAACGCTCTCCATCCAACCTCACTGAGCTCCAGCTGTTTTGCAAGGAAGAATGGGCAAGAATTCCAGTCTCTCGATGTGCAAAACTGATAGAGACATACCCCAAGCGACTTGCAGCTGTAATTGCAGCAAAAGGTGGCGCTACAAAGTATTAGCGCAAGGGGCCGAATAATATTGCACGCCCCACTTTTCAGTTTATTTGTTACATTTTTTCTAATTATCTAATAAATTTCGTTCCACTTCACGATTGTGTCCCACTTGTTGTTGATTCATGACAACAACAAAAATTGTATATCTTTATGTTTGAAGCCTGAAATGTGGCGACATGTTGAAAGGTTCAAAGGGGCCGAATACTTTCGCAAGGCAGTGTATCTTTCCTCAGTAAAAAAATAAATAATGAGCGACTGGGAGCATTCTCGAAAGGTTCAAAGGGGCCGAATACTTTCGCAAGGCAGTGTATCTTTCCTCAGTAAAAAAATAAATAATGAGCGACTGGGAGCATTCTCAGTGAATTCTATTATGGACGAGTTGGAAGAGCCCGAGGAAGTAAAAACAGCAAATAACCACAAAAACACAACTCCAACAGTCAAGAAGAGATCGACAACTTCATTACAGACCAGAAAGGTAAAACCAGGAGCAGGAAAACCAAGACATGAACATCACAAATATGTAAAAAGCATTGGTAAAAACACAGACTGAGAACTGTCACAGTTTGATGTTTGGTCAAATGTGTTTTTAGTTCAAACCGATCGATATTTGCACAAATTAATAATAGTTTAAGGATTCTGTCACATGTTCATTCCTGACACAGTCATACAATAAAACCTTGGTCTAGGCTGTGGTCTGATGTTTCTCTGGACAGAGCATGCGCTCGTTTAATAAGTCGTTAATAAACTATAAACATGACTATAATAATAATAATAATAATAATAATAATAATAATAATAAAGCATCGGTTTTATACACTCCCACTGATGACTGCTGTCGTTGTGTCCTTGGGCAAGACACTTAACCCCACTTTGCCCAAAGCCCCCACTGAAAGATCAAGGCTATGCTCACACTCAGAGAGCAGCCGTCCTCCTGTGGACTCACCACCTGCAGAGGGTCAGTGAGGGGCTGGTGCATCTCTGACTGCCACCCCCCTGACCCAGGAATGGATTAAAGGGAAGAAAATGGATGGATGGATGGACGGTTTTATACAGTTCTTTTCTGGACTCAAAGACTCTTCACATTATTATTCTCTCTCTCCAAACACAGTGGTGATAAACTACTGTAGCCACAGCTGCCCTGGGGCACCCCCTCCCCTCCTCAGAGCCCACCCTCCTCCCCTCCCCCTCAGGGCCCACCCTCCTCCCCTCCCCCTCAGGGCCCACCCTCTCCCCTCCTCCCCCCTCCTCAGGGCCCACCCTCTCCCCTCCTCCCCCCTCCTCAGGGCCCACCCTCTCCCCTCCTCCCCTCCCCCTCAGGGCCCACCCTCTCCCCTCCTCCCCCCTCCTCAGGGCCCACCCTCTCCCCTCCTCCCCTCCCCCTCAGGGCCCACCCTCTCCCCTCCTCCCCCCTCCTCAGGGCCCACCCTCTCCCCTCCTCCCCCTCCCCCTCAGGGCCCACCCTCTCCCCTCCTCCCCCCTCCTCAGGGCCCACCCTCTCCCCTCCTCTCCGGGAGTGGTCAGTGGCCACGGAGGCAACCTCAAACCGCCACTACCGCGTTTCTGAAACGCCTTCTTCGACAGTTTTATGTTGAAACTGTAAAGTTAACAAAAAAAATGCGTCAAAATCGCAGTCTGCGTAAATATCTAAAAACTTAATACGTTTGATATTAATCCGGAAATAGCAAGAAAAATACCATTCCCATAGTGGAACCAAACATGCTGGTCCTGTAGCCCGCCTCTTTCAGCGCATCAGCCAATGGGAAGTGCGATACTCGCTGAGTTTCAACAAGCCTCGTTTTCATTGGACAATCCAGCTGTGAATCACAAGTAAGTGTAAAATGGATGCGTTCGTTTCTTCTATGTGTTTCCCCAAAACAAACGCAAACACGTAAAGACTAGCGTTACTTCTGAGCTACACGTAAGGTAGAAACCGTATTGTAAATAAACAGAGAGTAAGAACTCAGAGTGGACCGTTCTGCTGAGTTTTTAATCACGTGTTTCTTCAGTGTGTGAAGGTTTTGGCTCAGGCCGTGAGAGCTGCGGCCCGTGGCGGCGTCAGAATCGAACGCACCCGTGTCTTCTTCAGACGAAGCCACTCAAGTTTGTCTGAAGTTGTGAAAAGTTGTCAACCCGAAAAAGACTTCCGAAACTCCTCCCGTCTTCAAATAATGAGCAGTAAGTAACTTTTCATCTGGAAGCTTTGATCCACAGTTAGTTACAGATGTTACAGATGTTTTCACTGCAGAAGGTTTCAACAAACGCCGCTTGTTCCAAAGTCGCGTTTCCACGTTTGTATAATGTAACCTGCGTTAGCGTTAACCGAGTGAGTTAATCGATCAGCCGCTGATTAATACTGTTAAAACTGTTTCATCTCCAACTACAGCAAATGTTCCTCGAGTTTATTTGGTAAAAAGAGTGAATGTGGCGCAGGTTTGTAACTTAGGTGCGATACTTAGCTCCTGTTAGTCTGCATTAGTCTGCATGAGTCTGATTCTCCATGTACTGTGATCACTCTCAGGCCTTTCATCTGTTATGTCTGTTTTAGTCTGTTTTAGCCTGTTTCTGAGGCCCTGGGCTCTTTCACGTCTTCACACATTTGTTCCTCAGATCAGGGGGAAATGGCCGCTGCGGAGTCCGGCGCTGGCTTCAACCAGAAGCGAAACTCACAAGTAAGTTTGGACTGAGATCCGTGACCTGTGGTGTTGGTGGGACTGTGGCCGGTGCTGAGGCCGGTGCTGTGGACCGTGCTGGCCTCTCAGACCGCTCTGTGGTTGTTGATCTTCTCCGGGAGCACATGTCATTGGGGTGGGACATAGTGGGACAGGGGCAGGTAGAAAGCGCCCACACGGGGAGTTCCCTCAGTGCCCGGTCTGTGCTCGGCCCATTCGGCCCGATGCAGAGGAGGTGGCTACAGCTCCGTGTCACTTTATAGGCCAAATACTGTGTGGGAGGGAGATGGGAGGGTAACGGGGGAGGGGAAGGCGAGCCCGCCGCTTCTGTGGAAAGGTCCCACCCTGAGTCTGCACCGCACAGGGCAGGCTCAGGAGTCTGCACCGCACACACAGGGCAGGCTCAGGAGTCTGCACCGCACAGGACAGGCTCAGGAGTCTGCACCGCACAGGGCAGGCTCAGGAGTCTGCACCGCACAGGACAGGCTCAGGAGTCTGCACCGCACACACAGGGCAGGCTCAGGAGTCTGCACCGCACACACAGGACAGGCTCAGGAGTCTGCACCGCACACACAGGGCAGGCTCAGGAGTCTGCACCGCACACACAGGACAGGCTCAGGAGTCTGCACCACACACACAGGACAGGCTCGGGAGTCTGCACCACACACACAGGACAGGCTCAGGAGTCTGCACCGCACACACAGGGCAGGCTCAGGAGTCTGCACCGCACAGGACAGGCTCAGGAGTCTGCACCGCACAGGACAGGCTCAGGAGTCTGCACCGCACAGGACAGGCTCGGGAGTCTGCACCGCACACACAGGACAGGCTCGGGAGTCTGCACCACACACACAGGACAGGCTCGGGAGTCTGCACCACACACACAGGACAGGCTCAGGATTCTGCACCACACAGGACAGGCTCGGGAGTCTGCACCGCACACACAGGGCAGGCTCAGGAGTCTGCACCGCACAGGACAGGCTCAGGAGTCTGCACCGCACAGGGCAGGCTCAGGAGTCTGCACCGCACAGGACAGGCTCAGGAGTCTGCACCGCACACACAGGGCAGGCTCAGGAGTCTGCACCGCACACACAGGACAGGCTCGGGAGTCTGCACCACACACACAGGACAGGCTCAGGAGTCTGCACCGCACACACAGGGCAGGCTCAGGAGTCTGCACCGCACAGGACAGGCTCAGGAGTCTGCACCGCACAGGACAGGCTCAGGAGTCTGCACCGCACAGGACAGGCTCGGGAGTCTGCACCGCACACACAGGACAGGCTCGGGAGTCTGCACCACACACACAGGACAGGCTCGGGAGTCTGCACCACACACACAGGACAGGCTCAGGATTCTGCACCACACAGGACAGGCTCGGGAGTCTGCACCGCACAGGACAGGCTCGGGAGTCTGCACCGCACAGGACAGGCTCAGGAGTCTGCACCGCACACACAGGACAGGCTCGGGAGTCTGCACCGCACACACAGGGCAGGCTCAGGAGTCTGCACCGCACAGGACAGGCTCGGGAGTCTGCACCGCACAGGACAGGCTCAGGAGTCTGCACCGCACACACAGGACAGGCTCAGGAGTCTGCACCGCACAGGACAGGCTCAGGAGTCTGCACCGCACAGGACAGGCTCAGGAGTCTGCACCGCACAGGACAGGCTCAGGAGTCTGCACCGCACACACAGGGCAGGCTCAGGAGTCTGCACCGCACAGGACAGGCTCAGGAGTCTGCACCGCACACACAGGGCAGGCTCAGGAGTCTGCACCACACACACAGGGCAGGCTCAGGAGTCTGCACCACACACACAGGACAGGCTCGGGAGTCTGCACCGCACACACAGGGCAGGCTCAGGAGTCTGCACCGCACAGGACAGGCTCAGGAGTCTGCACCGCACAGGACAGGCTCAGGAGTCTGCACCGCACACACAGGGCAGGCTCAGGAGTCTGCACCACACACACAGGGCAGGCTCAGGAGTCTGCACCACACACACAGGACAGGCTCGGGAGTCTGCACCGCACACACAGGACAGGACCACTCACTGAGAAACCACCAGGACTTATTCTTTCATCATTTCAATTTAAATGTAAAACATTGCACTAGGACTGCACTGCTCGCATTTATACATTTTTATCATTTATATAGTGCACACATTTAGCACAGATAGTGATTCCATCTGTGCCAAAAGGGACATTTAGATTCCTCCATTATCATGTCACTGATAATTCAATAGTAACTTTGTCACTAGCCACTTTACCTGTTGTTATTGTTGATGCTTATTCTGCTCATATTCTCCGCTGCTAAAGTACAATATACACATCTGTAAATACTTTTGAACCAAGTGACATTATAACCCAGAGTTTATCTTATTTTATTGTCTATTATCTTAATGTGTGCGTCTGCTGTAATGTGCAACGATGACACTGACATTTCTCCACTGTGAGACTAATAAAGGTTTATCTTATCCATTGTGATATTGATAATGTTATTACTAGAACTCACAAAACACAGTGGTTTTCCAAACTTTATAAACTGTATTTTTAGCAAAGAAGAGCAGAATGACTGATGTATCCGTTGTGTTTTCCTGCAGGATTCTCAGCAGCCTTCTCCGCTCGCCTTGTTGGCCGCGACATGCAGTCGACTCGACAACACTGGTGAAAATGATTCTGCTGATGAGCAGCAAAGTCAACAGCAGCAAGTTGATATAAACACAGATGTCTTTTCCTCCAACTCCAACGGTTGGCAGGTAGTTCCTCTGAGCGTCCAGGCCTCTTCAGGCACCAGCACCGTCACCACAGACTCGGTGATCGGAGACCCAGGAAAACTGCGACAGAGCATGTCCTCGTCGGTGGCTGTGAGCTCTCAGCAGCCGCAGCAGCCGCAGCAGCTGCAGCAGCAGTATGTGGTGGCTCAGGCGCCGTCAATGCAGGGGCAGCAGATCCTCACCACTTTATCAGGAGTTATGCCCAACATCCAGTACCAGGTCATTCCTCAGTTTCAGACGATGGACGGCCAACCACTGCAGTTCACTCAAGCGCAGCAGGATCCTGCGGTGTCTGCAGCCAGTGCAGCGCCGCAGTTTCAGATTGTGTCGTCTCCAAACGGGCAGCAGATCATCGCTGCCACAAACCGAGCTGCAGGAGGAGGGAACATCATCACGATGCCCAGTCTCCTCCAAGGAGCCATTCCCATTCAGAACATCAGTCTGGGGAACGGCGTCCTCCAAAACCAGGCCCAGTTCTTGGCCAACATGCCAGTCTCTCTGAACGGAAACATTACTCTTTTACCCATGAGCACCGGGACCACAGTATCTGGAGACGTGAGCAGCACAGAGGCTGAGGGGACCCAGCTGCTGCAGCAGACTCAGGCCGTGTCCAACAGCGGCTTCATGACCAGTGCTTCCACCACCACCACTCAGTCCACCGCTGCCTTTGGAATCGCTCAGACTCAGAACACAAACGCCTTTCAGCAGAATGCAGCTTCCATTGGAGTGGCCATCCAGCCTGACCACAGAGACGGACAGCAGACACAACAGATTTTAATCCAGCCGCAGCAGGTTCTTCAAGGAGCCACGTCTCTTCAGACCATCCAGGCGAGCGCTCTGCCCAACGCTAACCAAGTGTTCGCTGCACCCACTCTGACCCAGGAAGGACTTCAGAACCTTCAGATTATGCCCAACACTGGCCCCATCCTGCTCCGCACTGTTGGGCCTAACGGGCAGGTGAGCTGGCAGACCATTCAGATCCAAAGTCCCACAGGAGCTCAGATCACACTGGCCCCAGTGCAGTCCATCCCCCAGCTAGGCCAGACCCAGACCTCGTCAGCCGGACTGTCAGTGAACGCTGTTCAAATCCCAGGCATTCAAACCATCAACCTCAACTCTCTGGGAAACTCGGGGCTGCAGATGCACCAGCTACAAAGTCTCCCCATCACCATCACTAGTCAACCAGGTGAGCTCCAGTGTCACTGGTACATGTTTAATGGTCATGAGTTCATTTGACTGTGTGTGGCTTTATTCAACCAAAGCAAACGTGTTGGAAAAGCCCACCTCCAGACTGGTCCAACCTGTTCTTCTGGAAAAGCTTTACTCTGTGTCCTACTTTGTGTGAAACTTTAGCTGCAGATCGGCCTCGTGCTCTGGATCTGTGCACCTCCTGTTAAAAACATAATTATAAGCATTATAATCACTATTAATACCCAATGAATATAAACGCTGTGTTTCAGGGGAGCAGCAGCTGCACTCGAGCGCAGACGCTCTGAATGACAGCACGATGGTAGATGAGATGGACTCTCCGCCTCAGGGCAGACGGAACCGCAGAGAGGCCTGCACCTGCCCCTTCTGCAAAGACGGAGACAGCAGGTGCAGTGTTTGAATCCCATGTGTTTGTGGAAAGTCAAAGGGACATTTGGTCTCATTTCTGATGTTTTGTTCAGAGACTCGTCTAAAAAGAAGCAGCACATTTGTCACATTCCCGGCTGTGGAAAGATCTACGGAAAAACGTCTCACCTCAGAGCGCACCTGCGCTGGCACACGGGGGAGCGGCCCTTCGCCTGCAGCTGGGCCTTCTGCGGGAAAAGGTTCACACGCTCCGACGAGCTGCAGCGCCACCGACGGACTCACACAGGTACTGCACACACACACACACACACACACACACACAGGTACTGCACATATATACTCACACAGGTACTGCACATATATATACACACACACACACACACAGGTACTGAACATATATATACACACACACACAGGTACTGCACATATATATATATATATATATATATATACACTCACACACAGGTACTGCACACACTCACACACAGGTACTACTTATATACACACACAGGTACTGCACATACTCACACACAGGTACTACTTATATACACACACAGGTACTGCACATATATATACACTCACACACAGGTACTGCACATATATATACACACACAGGTACTGCACACACTCACACAGGTACTACTTATATACACACACAGGTACTGCACACTCACACACAGGTACTACTTATATACACACACAGGTACTGCACATATATATACACTCACACACAGGTACTGCACATATATATACACACTCACACACAGGTACTGCACATATATATATATATATATATATACACTCACACACAGGTACTGCACACACTCACACACAGGTACTGCACATATACTCACATAGGTACTGCACACACACACACAGGTACTACTTATATATACACACACACACACACACATTATTGATCCCTGTAGAGTCCAGAGTTTCTCAATCTGCAGTACATTTTTCCACCACTGTAGAACCTGAAGGTTTGGGTCAGACGTTTCTCTGGATGAGATCTTTTAAGTTTCTAAGATGGTGGTCTTTGTGGCGTGTGTTGTTTTAATTCTATCGTGTTAACTTTGAACCGTTGCAGGTGAGAAGAGGTTTGAGTGTCCGGAGTGTCCGAAGCGCTTCATGAGGAGTGACCACCTGTCCAAGCACATAAAGACCCACTTAAATAAGAAAGTGGCTTCAAACAACATGGCGCTGGCAGAGTCCACGGAGGCGGCGTCCCCGGCGTCGGAGGCGGGGTCTGGGGTCGTGGTCTCCGGGGATCACACTATTGTTACCATGGAGACGCTGTCGGCCGAGAGCATCGCCCGGTTAGCTAGCAACGGCATCAACATGATTAACTTTCCACAGCTCAACGGAAGCAGCTACTGAGACTCAGGACAAACTACAGATGGACTTCATGATTCTCAGTCAGGACAGAATCAGACGTTTGACTGTGAGACACCTCGCATCAGACGGATTCACAGAAAAGACACTTGTAGTTTATATTGAACTAAATGGATTGAATCAAGTGAAAGTTACTTTTGTGGGTACAAACTAAAGCCATCAGACTTTATAACAGCTATAATCATAGAAATGCCCTAGCTGTAGGTACAGAAGCTTCATGATTTGCCTTTATTGAACCTAACAGCACAATCATTTTAACCTCATGTTTGTTTTTATGTTCAGAAAGTGCTGTGCTTCCAAATGTTTGAAACATCCTGAGACTGTACAGTCTTTACATGTAAAGTTCAACTGTATACATTAAAATTATGCAATGACTTTACAGTGTTTACACTAAAGTCCCTTTGGTCAAAGGTCAACGTAGGTGAAAGAAACTTTACAGCTAACTTTGGTTTGTACAAAACGTAAAGGTTATTCCCCACTTTGGGACGTACACAGCTCAATCTTTACCCAACGACGTTTGAGAATAATTCTAGTGCTACTGGTTAAACTGATTCATCAGAGCCAGAGTCCTCTGCCCCAAAGTGTCTCACTCCATTTGGTCGTCTAAAAGTGATCAAATCTAACGTTACTTTCAGACATTATCCATGAGTGTAAACAACTAAACATGGACCATTCAGGACTTGTTTATTATTACACAGAAAAACACATTTTATTAGTTTAAAACCTTCAGCGTCGCTCACGCCTCTTCATCTTTGACCTTGTTACGGAGGCTGCAAATAAACACATTTGTTCAGGATCAAAAACATTAAACCAATAGTTCTGAGTCCCTGGTACTTCTACCATCTGAGAATACCTGGTCAAGTAAGAATGCACATCAGAGAACCCATGGTACTGAGCCAAAGGGAACAGGATCCCAGTGGGACAGCGACCCTCACGCTGCCGACAGAAGCTGCAGTTACAGATGCCCCGACACGGAGGACACGCCCACTTCTGCAACCACACACACACTGATGTTAGGACACGCCCACTTCTGCAACCACACTGATGTTAGGACACGCCCACTTCTGCAACCACACTGTTAGGACACGCCCACTTCTGCAACCACACACACTGATGTTAGGACACGCCCACTTCTGCAACCACACACACTGATGTTAGGACACGCCCACTTCTGCAACCACACACACTGATGTTAGGACACGCCCACTTCTGCAACCACACACACTGATGTTAGGACACTCCCACTTCTGCAACCACACACACTGATGTTAGGACACTCCCACTTCTGCAACCACACACACTGATGTTAGGACACTCCCACTTCTGCAACCACACACACTGATGTTAGGACACTCCCACTTCTGCAACCACACACACTGATGTTAGGACACGCCCACTCCTGCAACCACACTGATGTTAGGACACGCCCACTTCTGCAACCACACACACTGATGTTAGGACTATAAGAGGACACTGCAGCTTTATGACCGTAGCCAGATCAAACCGCGTTGGTAAAGCGTCTCACTGGGTCGAGCAGAGCGATCTTCACGTCTTCGCCGTATCGGTTCCTCAAACACGGTCCACAGAACTGGCCCTGGATCCCTCTGCAGCCCTCACTACGACAGCAGGTCTTCGTGTCGATGGTCTTCTGTCTGCACTGGTGGCAAGTCGAGCCCTGAGGTTACACAAAACATTCTCTTTGTGCCATACTTTCTATATCGCTGCTAACTGTTTATTAACCCTTTAGGCGCCAGAGTTTTTTCAAGAAAATATACAATTTTGATTTCAAGATTTCAAAAGGCTGTAACTTAAAAATGGTTTGAGATAAAGGCATACTATAAATTAGCAATATCTTCAGTCTGAACCAAACTTTGGGATGGAAGTTGATTCGTCATCTAATTTGCATATTGTGACGTAATCAAGGTGGCGGCCATTTTGGAAAATGTTAATTGTGTATAAAGACTTCAAAAAGCTGTAGCTTGGGAGATATTTGAGATCAGGGAATACTATAAACAGTAAATGTGAAATATCTTTAGAATGAAATGAATTTGAGATAGAAATAAATTCCCTGATCTAGATTATAGATAATGTTTTAGCACTAGTTCGCGGCCATATGGAATTGTATTATTTTCATAGACCTTCAGTGATCAAGACAGCACTCTTTATAGTTTACAGTCATGAAATCTGGAGATTGGTTTCAATATTTACCTTTCAAAGAAGTGGTGAGCATACTATTTTTATCAGTGGAAATGAGGCTCCAGGATTTATGGTTTAGAAACAGATGAAATGAATGGGCTCAGAACATGTCATACCCTCCACCACGGCCCCTGCTTGGCGTTCACAGAATGCTTCTACCGCGGCCACACGGAGGACAAGCAGCCGCTGCACAGGGGCTGATTGTGGACTATATGGCTCGGTCTCCTCGTCACTAATAATGTCTGTCTGCTTCACTGGACACCTGTGTGTCTTCCTCCTCTGAATCTGAGTGAGCCAGTACCAGACCAAGTACTTCTCTGGTACTGAAGACCTCGTGAGTAAAATAAACCCTCTCTCCCTCTGCTCTGTTCTCGCTCCTCTCAGCTCTACCGCTGCTGCTTCGCCTCCGCGCTGCTGCGCCGCAGGTGTTTTACAAACTCAATTTACTCAAAAACTTCCAATATAACCACACCCACAAATGTTGCTCATATTACAGGCACACGTGTCCACTAACCCCTGGTGACAAGTATTAACAAGATTCTGCACCACATTTTTACATACAGCCTGTTTAAGTGAGCAATGTTGCTTGTCGCAATATTGCGACTTTGGCGCTTAAAGGGTTAAGATGTGAGTGATATGATTGTGTTGTCATGACGACAGGCGGAGAGCAGCTGGTGCTGAAGCTCTTTAATCCCACTGCACATGGTCCTGAATAAACTAAACTTAAAAACAACAGTCACTGCTCTGCCACAGACCGTGACTTTGTTGTAGACCTTCTCCGTCAGAGCGTCCGCCACCTGCTCCAGTTCTTCTGCGGTGATGTCATCCACAGAGCGGATCACGTGAGGAACGGCCTGTGACGGCCGAACAGCCCCACGCCGCCGCGGCGCTCTCTTCACCTTTAACATTTACACACAGATGATTGATCAACACTGTTTTAGAGATGAATGACTGCTCAGACCCTAAAGTTTTAAGTAAAAACCTGCAGTAGTTCTTCCTCCAGACTCAGCTCCAGCTCCTCCTCAAGCTCCTCTTTGGATCCTTCACTTCCTCCCATCGAGCGAGTGCGACGACGAGACGCACGCTCAGGGTTCTTCCTCAGGTCTCCAGAGCGCGGCGGAAGCTACACACACACACACACAGGTGTGCGTACGCACACAGGTGTACGCGCGCACGCACACAGGTGTACGTGCGCACGCACACAGGTGTACGTGCGCACGCACACAGGTGTGCGCGCGCACGCACGCACATGCACGCACACACACGCACAGGTGTGCGCACACGTACGCACACACACAGGTGTGCGCGCGTACGCACACACACAGGTGTGCGCACACACACAGGTGTGCGCACACGTACGCACACACACAGGTGTGCGCACACGTACGCACACACACAGGTGTGCGCACACGTACGCACACACACAGGTGTGCGCACACGTACGCACACACACAGGTGTGCGCACACGTACGCACACACACAGGTGTGCGCACACGTACGCACACACACAGGTGTGCGCACACGTACGCACACACACAGGTGTGCGCACACGTACGCACACACACAGGTGTGCGCACACGTACGCACACACACAGGTGTGCGCACACGTACGCACACACACAGGTGTGCGCACACGTACGCACACACACAGGTGTGCGCACACGTACGCACACACACAGGTGTGCGCACACGTACGCACACACACAGGTGTGCGCACACGTACGCACACACACAGGTGTGCGCACACGTACGCACACACACAGGTGTGCGCACACGTACTCACACACACAGGTGTGCGCACACGTACTCACACACACAGGTGTGCGCACACGTACTCACACACACAGGTGTGCGCACACGTACTCACACACACAGGTGTGCGCACACGTACACATACGTTTCTTACAGAGCTTTTCCTTTTTGCTTGTTTTTCTGCATGTTTCAGAAAACCAGCGCCACCGGGAATCTTCTGTAGATCTGCCATCAGCTGAGCCAGCTGCAGGAAACATGTGAGACAGGTCAGACATTAGAAATGTTAGACATTCGACATGTTATGGTGCTTTCAGACCGGATCATGCTGCGTCGGGTTTCAATGCAGTCTATGGTGGCGCGCGTTCAACCGTCACAACGCACGAACTGTTCAGTAGAGACGCACGAACTGTTCAGTAGAGACGCACGGACTGCTCTGTAGAGACGCACGGACTGCTCTGTAGAGACGCACGAACTGTTCAGTAGAGACGCACGGACTGCTCTGTAGAGACGCACGGACTGCTCTGTAGAGACGCACGGACTGCTCTGTAGAGACGCACGGACTGTTCAGTAGAGACGCACGGACTGCTCTGTAGAGACGCACGGACTGCTCTGTAGAGACGCACGGACTGCTCTGTAGAGACGCACGGACTGCTCTGTAGAGACGCACGGACTGCTCTGTAGAGACGCACGGACTGTTCAGTAGAGACGCACGGACTGCTCTGTAGAGACGCACGGACTGCTCTGTAGAGACGCACGGACTGTTCAGTAGAGACGCACGAACTGTTCAGTAGAGACGCACGGACTGTTCAGTAGAGACGCACGGACTGCTCTGTAGAGACGCACGGACTGCTCTGTAGAGACGCACGGACTTTTCAGTAGAGACGCACGGACTGCTCAGTAGAGACGCACGGACTGCTCTGTAGAGACACACGGACTGTTCAGTAGAGACGCACGAACTGTTCAGTAGAGACGCACGAACTGTTCAGTAGAGACGCACGGACTGTTCAGTAGAGACGCACGGACTGTTCAGTAGAGACGCACGGACTGTTCAGTAGAGACGCACGGACTGTTCAGTAGAGACGCACGGACTGTTCAGTAGAGACGCACGGACTTGGCGGGAAAGTGAAAAGGGAGGAGCAGGAGATGGATTCTGCTCATCCTTTCCTTGGGACGATCGTGCGACAACCAATCAGAGAGCAGCAAAGTGGTCACGGGGACATTAGCGGACTGAGCGAGCAGACTGAAAATACTCGTAAACAGCCAAAACAGGACCCACACCAGACTTCACCAGAACTCACACCAGAGCTGACGATGGGGACTCTGTGCTTGTGAAAATATGTGTTGTCATGCTCCCGTGACCTTATGCAACTGCTTCGAGTGTGTTCGCCGATGCGGAAATACCGTTTAATAATATGAAAAACGTATGGTGCACCTCCGTGAACACATACTACTGTTATATAAAGTCACCTCCATGAACACATACTGCTGTTATATAAAGTCACCGTGAACTAGAGCCCTGCACGGGCCAATTATCTGGGCCCGAGCCCGGCCCTGGCCCGATATGGTTTCTGAATTTTCAGGCCCAAAACCCGCATCAAGCCCGCCTTTTTTTTTTTTTTTGTAACCTCCCATAACAATGTTTTAGCGTAGTATATAGTGCCGCGCACTGATATGAACGCAGACTTAGCTAGAGGGCGGAGTTATACATGGTAGTGATGTGTTGCAATGAGTTCTGTGTGTGCGGAGTGGTGCAGAGTGAACATCTGTATGATACACAGCTGTATGATACACAGCTGTATGATACACAGCTGTATGATACACAGCTGTATGATACACAGCTGTATGATACACAGCTGTATGATACACAGCTGTATGATACACAGCTGTATGATGCCCAGATGCTGCAACACACCTGTAAGTAACGCTATGTGCCGTCAATGACAACACTACACAGAACAACAAACACTACAGCGTGATAGAACGCTATATTCAGTGGGTGCGTTCGTAAATCTATTCTGCCGCTCTGAAAATGAAGAGCCCGAGCCCGGCCCGTGTCCGAGGTCATTATGCGGTCATCGGCCCGAAGCCCGGCCCTCGGGCTGTCGGGGCCCTCGGGCCAAGGGCTCAAGTGCAGGGCTCTACCGTGAACACATACTGCTGTTATATAAAGTCACCGTGAACACATACTGCTGTTATATAAAGTCACCGTGAACACATACTGCTGTTATATAAAGTCACCTCTGTGAACACATACTGCTGTTATATAAAGTCACCTCTGTGAACACATACTGCTGTTATATAAAGTCACCTCTGTGAACACATACTGCTGTTATATAAAGTCACCGTGAACACATACTGCTGTTATATAAAGTCACCGTGAACACATACTGCTGTTATATAAAGTCACCGTGAACACATACTGCTGTTATATAAAGTCACCTCTGTGAACACATACTGCTGTTATATAAAGTCACCGTGAACACATACTGCTGTTATATAAAGTCACCTCTGTGAACACATACTGCTGTTATATAAAGTCACCTCTGTGAACACATACTGCTGTTATATAAAGTCACCTCTGTGAACACATACTGCTGTTATATAAAGTCACCGTGAACACATACTACTGTTATATAAAGCCCGTGGAAAGTCTCTGTTCAAAGACACGCTGCAAAGCTGCATATTGGAGAAGATCTGTACACAAGAAGCCGCTAGCATAGCTCTGTTAGCATCAGAGCCGGCTACTTCTGGTACTTCCGGCTCGCGTCAGGACGTTCTGGTGTGAAGTCCTTTGCGTCTGAAAACTAGAGAATGCGCGTCTGGTGAGCGAGGCTTCAGTGTTTCAGTGTTGGCGTCTGAAAGCACCATTAGACATTAGGCATGTTAGCCATGTTAGACATTAGACATGTTAGACATTAGCCATGTTAGACACCTGGTAAGTTGTTTAAAGAGTCTTTACCATCGCTTTGTTAGCTTTGATGTTTTGTTCTCGTTTGGCCAAAAACGATTCCTCCTCTTCCTCCTCTTCATCCTCATTCACTTGTTCAAAGTTGACCCGCTTCTGTCGGACCTGCCTGGTCTGTGATGGTCCTGTGTCTCGGACCTGCCTGGTCTTTGATGGTCCTGTGTCTCGGACCTGCCTGGTCTTTGATGGTCCTGTGTCTCGGACCTGCCTGGTCTTTGATGGTCCTGTGTCTCGGACCTGCCTGGTCTTTGATGGTCCTGTGTCTCGGACCTGCCTGGTCTTTGATGGTCCTGTGTCTCGGACCTGCCTGGTCTGTGATGGTCCTGTGTCTCGGACCTGCCTGGTCTGTGATGGTCCTGTGTCTCGGACCTGCCTGGTCTTTGATGGTCCTGTGTCTCGGACCTGCCTGGTCTTTGATGGTCCTGTGTCTCGGACCTGCCTGGTCTTTGATGGTCCTGTGTCCTCAGGGGTCAGTGGAGGGCGCAGGGCCACTCTGAGGCTGAAGGTCTGAGCAGGAGGAGTGGAGCGGCCATGATCTTCATCCTCTGACTGAGACAGAAACAAATGCATCATAACGTTTCATTTAAGTTTCACTGATTTAAAGCTCCAGATGGGTTTCGGAAACGGCCAGTACTGAACCATGTGACTGAACCATGTGACCTAATGTTTTAGTAGACTGTAAATAGATTTTATTTTCTGTTAGCCTCTGTTGGCTTCTGTTTGCTGATGTTAGCCTCCGTTAGCTGATGTTAGCCTCCGTTAGCTGATGTTAGCCTCCGTTAGCTGATGTTAGCCTCCGTTAGCTGATGTTAGCCTCCGTTAGCTGATGTTAGCCTCCGTTAGCTGATGTTAGCCTCCGTTAGCTGATGTTAGCCTCTGTTAGCCTCTGTTAGCTGATGTTAGCCTCTGTTAGCTGATGTTAGCCTCTGTTAGCTGATGTTAGCCTCCGTTAGCTGATGTTAGCCTCCGTTAGCTGATGTTAGCCTCCGTTAGCTGATGTTAGCCTCCGTTAGCTGATGTTAGCCTCCGTTAGCTGATGTTAGCCTCCGTTAGCTGATGTTACCTTATCGTCGCGCTGTTCTCCTTCCGAAAACCCGTAAAAAGTTTTGTCATTGTCTGAATCCTCCGTAAACACCTCTGCCAGTTCCTTCGTGAGGGAATGCATCCCAAAGACTACAGCCTGGACACAGACACACACACACACACAGATACACACTGAACATAAGTCACATTTGAACCGGTTTGTTTCATCTGCACTTTGTACCTTCGCCATTGGATTTATTCAAGAAATAAACGTGTTTATCAGACACATCGCACGCGGGGTCAGGAGGAGCTCTGACGCATGCGCAGTAATGAGCTGCTTCTGCCTGGGACAGCGCACCTGTTAGGGCTGTCAAACGATTACATTTTTTAATTGAGTTAATTACATCTTCAAAATTAATGAATCGTAATTAATCACATTTCGAAAGAACGGCAAAAGTATGCCATATTTTTCTGTAAATGGTTGTTTAAATGGAAAATTAAATGACGACATAGTGTAAATATGTACTGTATTTATTTATTTTAACAATAAATCCACATAAAACAGCATTAACAAGTTGTATTAAAACCCTAATTGAAAAGTTGAGCAGTTGAGTTGATTCAGCTGTGTATGAATTCAGGCCGTAAAAATAGAGACTTTGCCTGACGCTCGTTCTCCGCGGCCACGCCCCCTCTAGCGTCTGCAGCGCATGTAAACAACAGCAGCAGGAGAAGGAGGCTATAACTCCTCTGGCTGTAACTGCAGACACAGCAAAACAGCCCAAAGCACACAACAGTGAGGAAGAGAAGAGGAACTAAAGCCAAAACATGATCAAAGAAGAAACCAAGCCCTGAACAGAGCTAGCTTACATCTATCCTCTGGAGAGACTGGTCTATGGGAGAGACCATGGATGTATTATATTAACTGGATAGGGTATTACTAGCTTGTAGCTGAATAACTCGTGTGCTCGGGGGATTCTCGCGGTACTGCAGACTGAACCAGACTGAACCAGACTAAATTCACGTGGGCTACCCAGAAATTTTCCCTATAGAACTCAATGCATATTAAAACAGCTCAACCTCAGCTGACAGAGAACCTGACAGAGAACCTACAGAGAACCTACAGCTTTAATAAAGGTCAGATTTTGTGGGGATTTTAGTGTCCCTTGTCGTCCTGAACTTTTTTTCTTCTTAAATCCTTCGGTTTTGTTTAAATCCACACTTTAGTGCCACAAACTCTGCTCGTCTGGCTCCCGCTCTAACTCCCGCTCTGATGAACTGCTCTGATTGGTCAGAGCCGAGCCCCTCTGTGCACGTGCGTGAGACCCGGTGTGAGACCCACACACACGTGTTTGACGCAATGCATTATGGGAGATAATACACTGCGCAGAACCGGGAGGACCAGACGATGCCCAAATACAGGCGAGTTTCCCATAGATCTATGAGAGTTTCCCATAGATCTTTGAGAGTTTCCCATAGATCTTTGAGAGTTTCCCAAAGATCTTTGAGAGTTTCCCATAGATCTTTGAGAGTTTCCCATAGATCTTTGAGAGTTTCCCATAGATCTTTGAGAGTTTCCCATAGATCTTTGAGAGTTTCCCATAGATCTTTGAGAGTTTCCCATAGATCTTTGAGAGTTTCAAGCAACTTCCGCTAATCTTTCAGCCCCCATGCCGTCACAAGGCGCCACTGAGCACTACCATTCATTTGAATAGGGCGCCATCTTGGATCGCTGGGGCTTGGGAGAGACCTGCGGGACCGCCTCGGACTATCTACGCTCGGACTATCTACGCTCGGACTATCTACGCTCGGACTATCTACCCTTGAACTATCTACGCATGGACTATCTGTGCTCGGACTATCTACCCTCGGACTATCTACGCTCGGACTATCTACGCTCGGACTATCTACACTCGGACTATCTACGCTCAGACTATCTACCCTCGGACTATCTACGCTTAGACTATCTACGCTCAGACTATCTACCCTCGGACTATCTACGCTCGGACTATCTACGCTCGGACTATCTACGCTCACACTATCTACGCTCGGACTATCTACGCTTAGACTATCTACGCTCAGACTATCTACCCTCGGACTATCTACGCTTAGACTATCTACGCTCAGACTATCTACCCTCGGACTATCTACGCTCGGACTATCTACCCTCGGACTATCTACGCTCGGACTATCTACCCTCAGACTATCTACCCTCGGACTATCTACGCTCGGACTATCTACCCTCGGACTATCTACGCTCGGACTATCTACGCTTAGACTATCTACCCTCGGACTATCTACGCTCGGACTATCTACGCTCGTACTATCCACGCTCGGACTATCTACCCTCGGACTATCTACGCTCGGACTATCTACGCTCGTACTATCCACGCTCGGACTATCTACGCTCGTACTATCCACGCTCGGACTATCTACCCTCGGACTATCTACGCTCGTACTATCCACGCTCGGACTATCTACCCTCGGACTATCTACGCTCGGACCACATTTGGACGTGAAACTAGCGGTAATCTTTCAGTTATTTCTTTTGTTAGCAGTGCGTTGCTTTTGTACCACGACATAAAGAAGTTGTGCTAATGCTAACTAATGCTAACTAATGCTAACTAATGCCTATTGCTGTATTGCCCTGTCACACGCATGTGTCACTCAGAGTGTTATTATGGGATGCATGGGCGGAGCATTCGGCAAACAGGCTTTAATTTTTTTTAACGCGATTAATGATACAAATTAATTAACGTGCGTTAATTTGGACAGCCCTACTTATTATGTTGTTTGTTTCAACACATTGTGTAGACTTTTTTCAAGTCTACAATAAAGATAAATTAGTATACATAGTTCCTACATGACGTCACTACATACGGGGATTTGCCGACCCGGCGCCATTTGTGTTGGCATTCTGTGGGCAAAACAATAGTAAAAGAAGCTGAAACGTGTTAATGTCGTGATAACGTTGAAAATGGTCGTCTCCTGCTGGGTCAATGGATGTTCAAATCGTGCCGGAGGTTCCGTTAAACTTGGATTTTACAGTATACCCATCATTAGACTTCATGAATGTGAGAAGACTAAGCTTTTGTCAGAACAACCACGGAGGTTATGGCTTGCGAAGATAAACAGGCAAGAAACTCCCTCAAAACACGCAAGAATATGCTCGGAGCACTTTGTGTCAGGTGCGTATCGTATCTTATAATGTGTTGACAGACGTAATTTACTCAGTACTAACTTGTGTATGCTGATATCTGGTAACTTGAGAGTTTCATTATTTAGATTACTTTATTATGAGGAGGATCGGTGTCGCGTCCGAGGCTCTCGAGGGCAACGTAAATGTATTAAATAGATAATAATAGTTCTATGGTGGGCTAAAACAATGTTCACAAACAGCATTGCTTCTGTAAAAAGATCTGTGTCATAAAATAAACTGCTCTTTACGCCTGGAAAAATCAGTTGCCCACCATTCACCAAAACATACGGTCAAAAACGCGGAAATAAACAATAACAGCAATCCAGAGTGTCCGTGTGGCATTAGCATTAATTAAATTAATTGTTAATATAATTAAAATAATTAAATGGAGCTCCAACTGGTATTAAATCTAAAGTTTTTGAGAAATGTTTGCATTGCTTGTTAATTTTTGCTGCATAATTTGATCAAATATGTAAAACATGTCCGTAGCACGTTAAACTGTGGTGCCATTGTATTAATATACAATCATTTGCTCAAAAGTTGCCCTTTTTTTCCAATTTGCGTTTGAATATCTACATTTATTCTCATTCTTCTGTTTAATGGAATGCACAAACACAGCAGCGTGCCATCAAAGATGGCGTCTCCGAGGAGGTCATGTGACATTCATTGGTCTGTGGGAACTATGTATAAAGTAATGTTCTTTTGTCAGTAACCAATCATAATTGACCTGTGGACCCAAACTAAATAGACTATAGTAAAACGGTCCGATTCTAAACCATGTGTCAATGATAACACATTGTGTTAATAATAATCAATCTCTCTGTTCAGTGATGGTCCCCACTTGTCAACAGAGTCAACAGAGGCCAAAACTACAGAGTTTCAGCCTCATTTGTTTAGCACTAATGTTGTTTTGTATTCAGTTTCTACCAATAGTCCACACATGTAAGGGATGTTTGCACATTACCTTTAAGTCCTATTTCTGCTCGTTCCAGTTTTTATTTTCAGATGTTTCGTTACTCAATCCTTTATTTTTTTAGAACCATTTGTGTACGAGGCAAAGTGCTTCACAAGAGCAAGTTAAAAAAACGGATCAAAATGCAGAAAATATACAATAATTTCATATTCAAGCAGAACAGTATGAAAGTGTTGGGTTAAAACGTATTAAAATGTGGGTCAAAATAAAAGATAAAACCAATAAACAGAGAGAACATGGTCAGGGTCGAGGCTCGTGTCACAGCCTCAGGAAGACTGCTCCATATCCAAGCTGCTTTGTTCTTCCTGTAACTAAATAAATGGCAACAGTGTGTTTGTGCTGAGAGAGAATGTTTGTGTGGCAGGTGCAGGAGCAGGGAGTGCTCTGGAAACTCCCCGTTCTCTGATAAACACTTCATTCTCCTGTGAAGGTTCTTTCTCAGACTGCAGCAGATCCTCCGTCTGTCCGACTGCAGCAGATCCTCCGTCTGTCCGACTGCAGCAGATCCTCCGTCTGTCCGACTGCAGCAGATCCTCCGTCTGTCCGACTGCAGCAGATCCTCCGTCTGTCCGACTGCAGCAGATCCTCCGTCTGTCCGACTGCAGCAGATCCTCCGTCTGTCCGACTGCAGCAGATCCTCCGTCTGTCCGACTGCAGCAGATCCTCCGTCTGTCCGACTGCAGCAGATCCTCCGTCTGTCCGACTGCAGCAGATCCTCAGACTGTCAGACTGCAGCAGATCCTCCGTCTGTCCGACTGCAGCAGATCCTCCGTCTGTCAGACTGCAGCAGA